CATTTTGGTGGGAATGCAAATTGTACAGCCACTATGGAAATCAGTGTGGTAGTTCCACAGGAATATGAGAATCCATCTGCCTCACGATCCAGCTGCACCACTCCTAGGCATATACCAAAGGATGCTTCATCCTATCATAAAGACATATGCTTACCCATGTTCATTACTGTTCTATTCATAATAGTGAGAAATTTGAAACAGATATCCATCAATAGATAAATGGATAAAGAAAATATGGTACATTTACCCAATGAAATATTACTCAGGCATTAAAAATAGTGACATCATGAAATCTTCAGGCAAAGGGATGGCTCTAAAAAAGTCATTCTGAGTTAGGCATCCCAGATCCAGAAAAAAAAAACATGATATTTATTTATTCTCCTGTATGTGGATATTAGCTATTAAGGCAATGATAACCAAGCTATAGTCTGTAGAACCAATGAGGGTAGGCCTAGAGTAAGGGAATATATAGAACAGATATAGATCTCATTAAGAAAAGTAAATAGAATAGATAATAATGGATAGATAGAGATAACTGGAATAGGAGGATCAAGTATGGAAGGGGAAGGATCATGGGGAGAGACAGCTAAAATTAAGGACCATATGAGGGTTAGCCTGGAAACTTATTGCTGTAGAAGCTTCATAAAATATATCCATATATAAAGGCAATCTAAATGAAATTGCCAAATAATGGGGAAGACACAGTCCCAACTTTACATTTCTTGTCATCAAATGAAACTTCCAGAACCAGGACTGGGATACATCTAACTGAATTGTTGGTCAAGGGGGTCCCATGGGAATACCCAATCCCTCTTAGACACATAGATTGTCATACTGGTGCTGCTTGAGTACCATTATTCACAACTTTTTCATGAGTCACATATTTTCTCCTTTTTAACATTATGTGTAAATATATTCTTTGAAAAAGGGCAGGAATCGATGCTTAAGAACTACACAATTTGACAGAATATTTGGCTTATTCCACCTCTGGAATAATCTATGAGACAACTTTTAACTTTTCCCTCAAGCAGCAATGTCAAGGCTGTATCCACTATGTTAAAGTGATCTTCAAGACATTTTTATACATTTTGAGAATACACAATGCCTTTTGACCTCTAGACACTCTATTTTTGGTTTTTCACCTGTGATACAAGCCATGGATTTGGAAAACAGAAAAATAACTGTAATTTCAAGTTCTCCCAGGGTTATGAAAGGAAACATACAACGTTTGTGCACCACTATCCAAGTGCTATAGACACACAAGCTCAAGATTCTTAGGGTAGGTAAGATTCAAATTAACGTATACCTTCAAATATAGTTTTTCATAAAATGCTTTTCTTTGAGGAACAGTCTTTGCTACTTTATTTCTCAGGCAATACACATTTCTCATAGGGATTAGTGTGAGAATTCCTTATGAAAGAACTAGCTATTAGGTTTGGTGAGTACCCATGAATTTTGCTTAAACTCAGGAGAGAAATATTGTATTCCATCATTTTACAGCACTGTTCTCCTTCTAAATACAGTGTTACATGAAATCATTATCAGACAGGAACCTGATCATTCAAAAGAAAAATAGCATCCATGCACATATAAATTCTTATTTAAAAATATTGAATATGAAAGATAAAAAAATACAAAAGGCTCACTAGTGGCAGAATTCAACATTTAGGGAAAATTTAAAAGAACCTCCTTGTGGAAAAATTAAACTCTTTCTAACCACATTAATAAAAAGTGATCTAAACACTGAATCACATGTTCAATCACAAAAATTGCATCATAAACTCATGCAGAAAGAAATCTTAAAAACCCAGTGGAATAAGAATCAGTCTCCCAGACTGGTGACATCTCAGGGACACCTCTATAAAGCCAGTGACAACACAGCTTTGGCTTCTTTGTTTTTCTTGCATTCTCAGACCATGCTGATGGCAGGACCCGAGAAGCAATGTTCACGTGCTTTGCATCAACTTCCAAAATCACTGCTTTCTTTCTCAGATATACAGGGGAGTTGGATACAAACAGAATTTTGTTCACCCCTTAACAGACTTCTCCGTAAAGAATAGGTGATACCTAACTTCAGACTTTTCACAGAAATGATGCATAGTGGTGATCTATTTAAGGTACATTACAGCATTTTCATATTTGACTATAAATTATGATGGAGTGCTTTAAGTGTGGATGCTCTATGTTAAGACACTGTTTAAATCAAACAGGGAACATTCAGTGCATAGCTATGTGTATGGGGTTTTAAACACTCTAATGTTCAGACTCCTCATCATTAGTGTTGATAATATAATTATGGGTAATCAATACATCAGTGATTAAAATGGTATATTTAGAGCTCATAGGCCAGTGTTTGTCAACTAATAATTGCTCAGGTTCCCAAAACTCAGTTTTCAGAGTGAGAACTTTTTCCTTCATTTCTTTCTTCATTCTGTCTCTCTTCTTCCTTCCTTCCTTCCTTCCTTCCTTCCTTCCTTCCTTCCTTCCTTCCTTCCTTCCTTCCTTCCTTCCCTCTCTTTGAACATCTGCTTCTTTAAGTCTAATGAGATTAAACACATTTTCAACCTGTCATCTTGAAGTTGAAAGCAAGTAACAGAGAAATGTCACAAGTGCTGTTTTTCTATTATCTCTCCACTAGCAGTTTATTTAATTTTGAAAAAATAAAACATTTCAGTAACACAAGTGTTCTTACTGTTCTGATATCACTGATTAGAAAGTAATATGTTTGAAGTAAAGAATGATAGCACAGAAGCTGGGTTAGTTGGGGTGTTGTCTATACTACATAGCTATTGATAGAGAATGTAAAATGTATTCTTTCCATAACTGGAAACTAGGTATGGTACTGAGAACATAGAATCAGGAAGAGTGCCTTAAATCACTGTGAAGTCTGCTGGTTTAAGAATGTCCCCTTAACTTTCTGCAGGTAGTAGAGAGTGCCTCTGTACTGTTCAGAAAATTCAATTAGTTGAAGATCTGAACCTCTTCAGTGCTCATGGTTGTGGCTTGGTCTCTCTTAAAATGAGCAGAATCACGCAGACAACAAAAGAAAATTTTAGAAGTCCATTAGCAAGGCAATGAGAGGGAACAGTAAAGTCCTTTCCTTTATGCCAGAAACAATAAGATAAGCAAAGCTGAGGCATTTTGGGAAAGCAGCAGAGAGACAGGTGTTAGTAAATATATTTCCCTTTGGATTTTCATAGTGTGAAATACTGTTTCACTCTGACATTTCATGTATGGCACCATGCCTTCCTGACTTCTTATTAAATTTTTTTGTCCATCTTACCTTAGCTCTGAAAGACAACTGGTAAACTAAGTATTGATCATATTAATGAATCGTAAATGATTACTGCCTGATCCAGTGACTTTAAAGGGTTTGTTTCAGGGCACTGCTTCTTTGGCTATATCATGTGAGTGGATGGAGTTACATTACACATGCTAGTGAAGAACTGACCTTAGGACATCATGTAAATGATTGTTGTAAAATAAATAAATAGTCACATGATAGATTTATAAACATGTGAAGAAAGGTCTACTTTCTTTAGATGTCAGTCATTGAAATATTACAATTTTCTTCTCAGAACAAACACATTTCTCTTATACACACTTATATTTCTAACTGTAGACATGCATGTATTCAAATACATACTCATGAATATGTCTCTCTCTATATATTCACACATGAGAATATTTTACAGGAAAAGATATAGACACATTTTGGGTTCTGACTACCTAAGGAAAATGAATCAGATATTGGAATATTTACAAAGATGATTTGTGGAATTACTTTTTGTGGGTGACAGTTGAATGTTTTTGTGAATTTATTACACCTAGCACTGTAAAGAAATGCTACCATGAGTGACATTTTGACATTTTTTAATTTGACCATATAATACCTAGAGATGAGCAGGTAAGATGGTATGGGTATGTTTCACAGTGAATTCTTATGAATCTCAAAGAATGTATTTTGATTCTCAAAGAATCAATTTTGGAAAGTGATTAAGTTGGAAGACTATGAATTGCATTTGAGGGTGAGTTGCTATTTTTAGCTGTATGTTGTCATCATTTTTCATTCATGGCTGATTGGTCCTTGGCCTTCTGATTCTTCATCATTGACTCTGTTGCCTTTATTAAGATATCTCATTTGCTTAAGGACAAAGAAAGACTATGATTTAACATTTAGAGGGTGAAAGAAATTAGAAGGAGCATCCTTTTCCTGAAGTTCCTACAAATGGAAATATCTCACTCTTCACCCTGTTGATTCAGTGGAGACAACATGTATGATAGATCTTGTGTCTTTAAAGTTCCAGGTTGAGCATCTTTTCTTGGCCTGATCAGAAAAGCTTTAATTATATCTTTTCAAAAATTAAAATACACAAACCACAGTAACATACTGCTGAATATGACTAGTACTTTAAGTCTGGAACAATTGCTTTTTTTAAAATAGTATTTCACTTATCCATTATGAAAACAGGGTAAATTTTGTAAAGTTCTTGTTAGGTTGTAAAATGATGAATTTAGTGAAATTTCCAACCTTTCAACATATGAAAAAAGAGGAGTGCTGCGTACTTTCCCAAATAATTTTCTGTTTTATAAAAAATAGACTGAGTTACTGAAAGTTATAATAATTCATACTTTTACCCATGTTTAAGCTGAACCTATGACTTTGAAGTGTTCCCTAAAATACATTTTGCCTCTTTTATTGATAGATAAGGTAGGAAATGCTCTGATCAGTCAATGGAGACTAACATTCTGGGCTTCATTTATATGTAGAATAGTTTAAAGTGCCTTTTACTGTTTCACTTGCAGAATCCCATAAGGGCTAATGAAAGCTGACCCTTCAGAGATAGGCTATTGCTCTCATCTCACCCAAGCAGATATTTTTATCTCCAATATTTTAGATGTGAATATTTTAAGTACTCAAAAATTCAACTCAACTTTAATACTACATGATATGCAACTACACATTTAAGAAAAGTGACGTTCTTTTCTTATTAGCAAAACAATCAAAGCAGCAGCAACTTGTACATGGTGATTATATAAACTTGAATGATGTATTCTGTTCTCATAATTTCAGATTTAAGTGAACAGATTTTACTTCAGCATCTTCTTGAGAATAATGCAAAACCAGAGCTTTGTCACTGAGTTCATACTTCTTGGGCTTTCACAGAACTCAAAAGTTGAGAAAATATTGTTTGTTGTGTTTTTGTTGATCTACCTTGCGACTATTTGGGGAAACATGATGATTGTGGTGACCATCATCTCTAGTCCCACATTGCTTGCCTCCCCCATGTACTTCTTCTTGATATTCCTATCCTTACTGGATGCATGCACTTCTTCTACTGTCACACCCAAGATGATTGTAGACTTCTTCTATGAGAGGAAGACCATTTCCTTTGAATGTTGCATGACACAACTGTTTGCTGTCCACTTCTTTACTGGGATAGAGGTGATTGTCCTGTCAGCCATGGCCTATGACCGCTATGTGGCCATTTGCAAGCCCTTACATTACTCTTCCATTATGACCCGGAGGCTCTGTGGCATTTTGGTGGTGGTATCCTGTGCAGGAGGGTTTTTACATTCTACTGTACAAATTATCTTCACTTTGCAACTGCCTTTATGTGGACCCAATGTCATTGATCATTACATGTGTGACTTGTTCCCATTACTGAAGCTTGCCTGCACTGACACACACATATTTGTTATCTTGGTGTTTGCTAACAGTGGGTCAATCAGCATCATTATCTTCTCTATATTGCTTGTCTCCTATGGTGTCATATTGTACTCTCTGAGATCCCACAGCTCTGAGGGGCGACTTAAAGCTCTCTCCACCTGTGGATCCCATATTACTGTTGTGCTTTTGTTCTTTGTCCCATGTTTTTTAATATATGCACGACCAACAACTGCTTTCTCTTCTGAAAAAAATGCGTTTGTGTTTGCCACCATCATGACACCACTTCTGAACCCTATGGTTTACACTTTCAGGAATAAGGAAATAAAAAATGCCATCAGGAGAATGTGGAAGAGATTGACAATGGTTTTTGATAATTATTAAAAAATGACACTTCCAATGTTGGGGAGATAGACCAGTGGGTAAGAGCTCTGGTGGAAACATAAGCATTTATTTCTGATTCCCAGCATCCATATCAGAAATCAGTCATGGCTGGACACTTTTAACAAAATACTGATGAAGTGAGATATTATAGAGCCCAAAGGCTCTTATGAAAACCAGTGAGGTCAAGGTTTAGTGGAGACTTTGTCTTAAGGAAATAAGACAGAAAGCAATAAATGGACAGAGTTAGTGACTTTCTTTTACTCAACATGCATGTGGACAGATACCTATATCATCCACCCCTCATTTCTATACACATGTATACTATTCACACAAATACCCACACAGGTATACACACCTGTACATGCACAAGATTCAATAATTACACTTAGGAAATAGTCTAAAAAACCAAGAAGTCACTATTTGCTAGGAAAAGTATTTTTTAATTAGCCATTATTTTGAAAAAGATGGCATCATTTTTTATAGATTGAACTAAAAATATGATGGGAAAACTTGTGTTTTTGAGTTAACACTTTCACTGTAATTTGATTGATTAGCATTAACCTGTGAAAATTAAAGCCAGTTTAATTTTATACTTTCAAAATTTCATTGATTTTTTGAAACAATTGAAGAGGTAAAAACAGCTTACTAAATTAATGTGAATTTGAAATGAGAAGAATGATATGGAAATGCTCTGAGAAAAAATGGGTCCCTCTATGACATTCTGACAATGTGAAACCTTAGGACCTAGAAATGCACTGGAGGGTAGGTAAAGCCTGAGTTCTGAGTGTTGCTTGATCATATCAACACATTTTAAATGAGGCCCTATTCATGCCAGAAGGAAAATTTGAGTTAGGTCTTGAGTTTCTAAAAGAACTGGACGATCAGAATTTCCATTGTGTGGTGTGACTACCCCCTTTAAATGAATTCTGTAACCTGCTTCCATAGGAAAAACCCATGGTACAGCATAAACCAAAGACAAGTATTGATTACTACCTGAAATGTTTATATAATGAGCACATGTCCCCCATTATTTACAGAGAAGAGAATTCAGAGGAAGCATATTTTAAATTAATTTCCTCCATATATATATATATATATATATATATATATATATATATATATATGCTATTTTGTATATGAGTACATTTTTGCATCATTTCCTGCCGTTCTGCTCCCTTTAACTCCTTCCATGTTTCTCTTCTCTTCTCAAATGCATGGCCTTTCATTCTTTAATTACTATTGTTTCACACACATGCAGAAACACATGCATGTATATATCACAAATACATTTATAAGTACATACTGTTGAATTCCTTTAGTGATGCTTATATCGAAATATATATTTGGGGCTGACTTCTTGGAGTTAGGTAATGTATCAGAGACTCATCCTTGGAGAAGACTGGTTCTCTAGATTTTAATATTCTTAACTTTGTGTATTCACTTGAAAAATTACATTCAATAATTATCAATTGATATAAATAACCAATGAAATTTATATATTTTTATGCCATTTTATATTTTCTTCTTTTATTTTATTTGTTTTTGAGACAGTGACTCTACTGATTCTGCTTTTAATATTAACTTTGTGTATTCATGTATAAAATAACATTCCATAATTGTCTATATATCAATGACCAATGAAATTTACATATATATTTGTCACTTTATATTTCTTTTATTTTCACTTTGCTTTTTTGAGACAGGGTCTTTGACAGTTCTGAAGCTCACTATGTAGACCAGGCTGGCCTCGAACTCACAGAGATCTGCCTCTCACTGTCTTCCCAGTGCAGAGATTAAAGGATTGCACCATGATGCCCAGCATTTTGTGTTTTCTTATCCTCAGGTTTCATGTGGAATCTTCACAAATTGATTGAATGACATATAGTTTCTCCCTTTAACCAAAAGCTCTAACATTCCAAGGGAATTTTGTTATACATGGGAAATTCCAGCTGGTGAAGACATTTTATTTGTCATGAAATTGAAGAACCAACTCAAATTTTCTATCCTTTACAAATGAGCCCACCTTAAAAATGTATTCAGTACTAAAAGCTAATACTGTGATGGTCTCTCCTTAATTTTATATGCCAGAGCTAAGATATAAAAATGTGTATGGGATTGTATTGATTTCAATTAGAAAGTGTATGTATGAAGAATTACAAGTTGTTTAAAAAACAATATATAAACAATGTGTGTGAATCTCATCAAAATAAATGTGTAACAATAGTTTGAATGTGCTAGGGCACCATCCCAATTAATTTCTATGTTTTTCTTGATCTTCTCATAGCAGATGCATCATCTTAATGTCTTTGCCCTAATCATAAGTGTTCTTGGTTAAGTAGTTCATATGTCCCTATGAGCTATGAATTAGCTTAAGAGATAAAGATCTGATATCAGTAGATTAATTGCTTTTGGAAGTTGTGAATACAAAGACTGAAATAAAACTATGAAAGAAAATATTGAACACACTAACTAAAACATACTCATTTTGTTCCATTATACATCGCATTCAACCATTATTTTATATTTCCTTAACTCTAGTTTCACAGTTGTAGACTCTAGTATTGCTATGCCAGTAGAAAAGAAGTTAGAATTTTAGCTGTGAAAAAAAAAAAAAAACGGGATTCCATTTGCACATTTTTATTGCTACTAGTTTAAAGATGAGAACCTGGTGAGCTTTTCTTATAGTTTACTGATACACATAAGAACTCAGAGGCTGTGACACACACAGGTTCAAAGCAAATAGAAACCCTGCTTTGAGACTTTTGATATTATAATTACATCATTTCTACCTTCCCTTTCTACACTTCAAACACTCCAATTGTTGGGACCTGCCAATCTGTCAAATAGCACCTGAATAGGAGAGTGAGAATTAAGAAAAGACAGACAGGCCGGGCGGTGGTGGCGCACGCCTTTAATCCCAGCACTCGGGAGGCAGAGGCAGGCGGATCTCTGTGAGTTCGAGGCCAGCCTGGGCTACCAAG